AGAGCAATGAGAGAAGTTACTGTTGTTTAAGTCACCCAGTCTATGGTATTTTGTTATGGCAGCCCAAGCAGACTTAATATGCTGTTCTTCAGGCTACTGTATCCCCTTGCAGGACTTGGGATCTTGTTTTGCTCGGCTCTTGTGAGTGCTTTAACACCTTTCAGGAACAAGATGCTAGGATCTTGTGACCAGTAGTGAATTGGCAGGAAATAGAAGATAAGGATTTTTCTTTAGTGGGTGTTCTTTGTGAGTTTGTTGGATCCTTTCAGTTGAGACTTTTTGGGGGAAGCCCTTCCCAGGTAGTATGAGTTTTACTTATCCCTATTTTATAATTTTCACTTTGTTTCTGGCACTAGGATGAGTAAGATAAGTGGAATTTCCTAAAATTTTACATAGCAAGTGGCAGGGACACTACTCTTTCCTTAACCTCGGTGTTTGCTGTGCCCACTCTTCTAAATCCACAACCATGGAAGTGAGTGGGTTGTCTTCTCTCTAGTCTTTCTAGTCTCCTTCTTTCTGTAGCATGGCAGCGACAGTTGCCACCTCTTTTCGTGACCTCTCAGGGTCTCTCAGTTCTGTTTGAGCTCTCCATGCTCCAGCTCTGGGCCAGGGTTATTTTGGTTGAGTCATCTCAGCAGGAAGCTGGGAAGAAGAGGGGATTAGGAACTTCCCCCTCAGCCTTCATTGTTGCACATACATGTGTCACGTTAAATGATGTTTCACCCCGGGGAGACTGTTGCTTCTGATAAAATGACTGTTTTCTACAGTTTGATTAAGCTGAATGAACATATTTAAACTTCTGTGGTTGTTTCATATGCTGCTCGATTAAAGGTACCGGAAGATAAAAATGTGTAAGAACAGAATCAGAATCAAATCTTTAGAATAGGCGGGGGATATTGAGCAGAACCAGAAGAAAGTAGTGATCAAGAGTCCAGGTATTACGGACTTTGCGGGAACTTGGATGGATTTAGAATCTATAATACTCAGTGATCTATCACAGAAACAAAGAACCGAGTACTACATGTTCTCACTCACAAGTGGACCCTGAACATCAATCATAATGCCATAAGAAAGGGATTGGCAGTAGTGAGACCTCCTGGGGGTGGGGGTGGGGCACATAACATCAATAAGGGTACCTGATCTCAAACCATACGAAGTGGGGACCAAAGGGAGGCCCAAACTTTACCTGTATGATGACCACCTATATACCTAATCCTGAATTGTACCCCGCATCTTTAAAATAAAATCAAGAGTCCAGGTAAGAGATTAGAAATCAGGTCTCAGAATATCAGAGGGAAGAACTGGAAAGGCATTTTGATGGATTTGGCAGTAAGGAGGAGGAAGAAAGCAGAATGAAGGCCAGAAAAGAATAATATATCTAAGAGGTTTCTCTAGAATTGGGATATCCAAGTATGCTGTATAAAATTACTTATGAAGGTAAAGTTAGCAGAAAGTTAATTCATTCAACTTTGATTTATGTAATTTTAATAGCGACATTGTTACCTGTTAAAATACCAGAAGCCCTGTTTCTTTGTTGTCTTGCTGATTGTGAGTGTTCAAGGCCTCAGATCAACTCAGCAAACATTTATTGAATACTCCTTTTGTGCCAGGTAGTATGCTAGGGCTATAAAGATGATTAAGGTGTCTTTTCCCTAGTTGCGTTGTACACAAGGTAACCAATGTTTGCATATGTCAGTAGCCGGTATTTTATTTTGTTTCTTTAGCTTTCATTGAAACTTATGTTTTCCAAAGACAGAATTAGAATTTTAACTTTGCTTTCTTTTTCTTTTTTGGAATCAGAGTCTCACTCTATCGCCTAGACTGGAGTGCAGTGGCACGGCACGCTCCTGGTCACTGCAGCCGGGACATGCTGGGGTCAGGTGATCCTTCTGCCTCAGCCTTCCAAGTAGCTGGAACTACAGGCATGTGCCACCATGCCTGGCTAATTTTTTTTTGATTTATTATAGAGATGAGGTCTTACCAGGTTTCCCAGGATGGTCTCAAACCCCTGGATTCAGACAGTCCTCTCACCTAGGCTTTCCAAAGTGCTGGGATTACAGGCATGAGCCACCAAGCTTGGCCTCTTACTATGCTTCCTTCAAGCTCACACGTTCATTTACTCTTCACTCCTTCCCCAGTTCCGATTTGTTTCCTCCTGTGGATGGGGGATGGGGAATGGGGGATGGGAGTGGTGTTCCTACTTCATGGTCAGGATGCCTTGCTGCAGCATTTCCTTTTCTGTAGCTCCTCCAGAGCTTATAGGTTCGTAGGGAATACATAACTTGGGCAGTTGGAGACTTTAGACCAAGTCAAGCAATTTTTTAAAACCTGTGATGTTGATATTCATAGTGCAGCTATTTTCAATGTATGGCATAGAGACCCCTGAAGGCTTTCTGAGACCCTTTGAAGGCCTTGGTTTGGCAGAGTCAAAACTATTTTTGTAATATTATTAAAATGTTTGCTTTTTTCGTTCTCTTCCTCACAAATGTTGAGTGGAGTTTTCCTTAGGCTACAGGATATATGATATCACAACAGATTGAATGCAGAAGCACATATGAAAATTTTGTAAAAATACAGGCCAGGCATAGTGACTCATACCTGTAATCTCAGCACTTTTGGTGGCCAAAGTGGGAAGATTGCTTGAGGCTAAGAGTTTAATAAGATCAACCTGAGCAACATAGCCAGACTATGACTCTGTTTAAAAATAAATAAATAAATGTATGCATATATTACTTATGAACTGGGTGTTGTGGCTCATGCCTGTAATCCCAGCAGTTTGGAAGACTGAAGTGGGAAGACTGCTCGAGGCCAGGAGTTTGAGACCAGCCTAATCAACATAGCACCCTAGTCAGTGACAGGTGCACAGGTGCAGATCAACTTAGTGTATATTAGTAAAGCTGATTTATTATATATTATATTTATTTTCTCTAAAAATGAAAGTAAAACAATTGACTGGGTGTGTGGTAGTACATGCCTGTAGTCCCAGCTACTGGGGAAGCCGAGGTGGGATGATTGCTTGAGTCTAGAAGTTGAAGGCTACAGTGAGCTGTAATTGTTAGATTGCACTCTGCCTGGGCGACAGAGTAAGATCCTGTCTCAAAAATTAAAAACAAAAACAAAAAATGAGAGAATCTTTAAGCCCCTTTCCTGAACTTTGGCTGCAGGTACTGTCTTCAAAGTGTGTCTTATTTGGGTCTGTCCTGCCGGATGCTCAGTAGAAAACATGGCCTCTCAGATATTATGGGACAGGCTCACTTGCTGTTCTGGAGCTTAGGTGTAAAGCTGAGTCAATTTCTATTCCCCAGTTATGGCAAGGCCTCTTTCCACTTTCTTTCTGTTATCACTCCCACCCTTCCTTCATTCTGGAGACTAGTGATCTGTAGAAATTGTTTGACTAGGTGAGGAGAGCTGATGTTTTGTTATTAATATTATTATTATTAATATTGTTATTATCTTGAGTCGAGGTCACAATCTGTCGCCCAGGCTAGAATGCAATGGCACTATCTTGGCTTACAGCTGCCTCGACCGCCTGGGGTTCAGGTCATCCTCCTGCTTTAGCCTCTTAATTAGCTGAGTCTATAGGCAAGCCATCATGCCTGGATACTTTTTTGATTTTTTTGTAGAGATACTATATTGCCCAGACTGGTCTTGAACTCCTGGGCTCAAGCAATCTTCTTGCCTCCCAGAGTGCTGGGATTACAGGTGTGAGCTACCATGTGTTGCCAGATTTTTTTTTTAAAGATAAGAAATGCATATAAATAGATGATATAGCTCTTTCTTCCTGTGTCCTAGTGGCTTTTTAAAGTACTAGCTGGGGTATACCCACCCCTTTTTAAACAGAAGCTGCTGGGTGGCCCTCTTTGTTGCCTCTGTACATTTTTCACTTGGTTAGCCCACAGATTAGTCTGGAACTGGTTCCCTTTCCTCCTTAAACTGCTTAAAGGGCTTTTTCTTTTTTGAGTTGGAGTCTCACTCTGTCTCCCAGACTGGAGTGCAGTGGCACGCTCCTGGTCACCGCAGCCTTGACCTGCTGGGCTCCAGCAATCCTTCCACCTCAGCCTTCCAAGTAGCTGGAACTACAGGCACGTGCTACCACGCCCGGCTAAGTTTTTGATTTATTGTAGAGATGAGGTCTCGCCAAGTTGCCCAGGTGGGTTTCGAACCTGTGGGCTCAGGCAGTCCATTCACCTCAGCCTCCCAAAGCGGAGGATTACGGGCTGAGCCACTGAGCCTGGCTAGGGCTTTTCTTTATAAATTAAATGTTTTCAAAGTGTTCAGCATCCACCTATTTGCATACTTACTTATCCCAGAGTCAGCTAAAATTAAAACTTCAGTAAATAATGAAGAAAAGATTTGCTCTACTGCATATGTTTTAAGAAGTGTTTTCATTGTATAATGTCTCTCTCTCTCTCTTTTTTTTTTTTGGAGGAGATTATTTCCCCCTTGTTTGTAGGTAACAAATATAAAATGTTATGACAATACTTTTGTTTGCATGAAGCTCCAGCTCCAACCCCCCTCTTTTGAGACAGGGTTTCGTTTTGTCACCCAGGCTGGAGTGCAGTGGCACAATCCAGGCTCACCACAATCTCAACCTCCTGGGTTCAAGCCATCCTTCTACTTTAGCTTCTCAAGAAATGGGGACTACATATAGGCACTACCACATCCAACTAGTTTTTTTTTTTTTTTTAAGTTAGAAAGGTGAAGTCTTACTATGTTGCCCGGGCTGATTTTGAATTCCTGGGTTTAAGTGATTCTCCCACCTCGACCTCCTGCAATGCTATGATTACAAGCATGAGATACTTAATGTGCCTGGCCCCCTAATTTTCAATTATTTGATTTTTTTAAAGTTACAGTTACTTATTATAATTAGCTAAATTTTAGGTGTTGAGGTTTGTTGGCTTGCTTTTTAGCAGTGCCATATGTTTGGGCATTTATAAGACTATTGCCAGTTAGTCCATAATTACCAACTTCTTAAAAGCCGTAAATATTGTTTTTTCTAGGTTGCAATAAAAATAATTGACAAAACTCAACTGAATCCAACAAGTCTACAAAAGGTAAGATTGGTTCAGTATTTAGTATTTTAAAAATGATTTTCAGTGCTAATTGCCATTTAATTATTACCTTAAATACCTCAACTGTTATTATGTTTAGTGCTGTAAAGCTTTCTCTTCCTCAGATAAATGCAGCTTAAATGTAAATATTTTATAAAAATTGTTGGGTATCAGTTGAAGATTATTTTTTAAATGTTCTTAATTGAGCCGGGCTCAGTGGCTCAGCCTGTAATCCTGCGCCTTGGGAGGCTGAGGTGAGTGAATTGCCTGAGCTCGCGGGTTTGAGACCCGCCTGGGCAACTTGGTGAGACCTCATCTCTACAAAAAAAAAAAAAATTAGCCGGGTGTGGTAGTGCGCGCCTGTAGTTCCAGCTACTTGGAAGGCTGAGGCGGAAGGATCACTGGAGCCCAGCAGGTCAAGCAGCTACTGCACTCCAGTCTGGGCGACAGAGTGAGACTCCGACTCAAAAAAAAAAAAAAAAAAGTTCTTAATTGCACAAAAAAGGCTATTGCTTTCTTTTGTATTTTTAATTGATGTAGTTGTACAAGACTACTTTTTTAGCCAGGCATGGTGGCTCATGCTTGTAATCCTAGCAGTTTGGAGGCTGAGGCAAGAGGATTGCCTGAGCCCAGGGACTCACGACCAGCCTGGGAAACTTGGCAAGACCTCATATCCACAGTAAATAAAAAAATTAGCCAGGCATGTTGGTGCGTGCCTGTGGTTCCAGCTACTTGGAAGACTGTACCAGAAGGATCACCTGAGCCCAGCGGGCCGAGGCTGCGGTAGCTGTGAGTGTGCCACTGTACTCCACCCTGGGCGACAGAGTGAGACTCTTACTCAAAAAAACAAACAAACAAAAAAACCCTGTACTTTTAAAATTGAATCCTCTACATATTGACTAGAATAGAATTTTTAAAAATAATACAGTACAAAAATCTTTTCACATAGTTGTGTAGATTTGTTTTTATAGCTAGTACTGAAGTCTCTAAAGTCAGCAATTTGGTTTCATTAAACTCTTGACATACCATATCCAATTAGTGATGATTAATTAGTATAAAAGGGACATGTAAAAGTAAAACTAATGATAGTGTGAAAGCATGTTTATAGAGCACTGTTGTTATTTGTATCATTTAACTTATATGAGGTTTCTGCCATAGTTTTTGTTAGAATTACCTGGGCATATTTTGAAATTCCTAATGTTTGGATCACAATAGAGATTGAATTGCTTAGGTAGGGCCTAGTCATCGGTATTTCACTGGTGCTTCAGTGAATAATTAATAATCATCACAATAAAATCCTTCTAGTTATTTTTAGTTTTCCAAACCCTTTTTACATACTTCATCTGATTTCTAGATTACGGCCTATAGTAATTGGGGGTGGGTGGGGTATGGAGATCATGAATTAGGACCAAGAAGTCTTAGCTGATTACCTAATCTGACTTTGAGTAAGGTAGTAAACACAAATATATACAGCAACCCAGTAAGTTGCTAGATGTTTGTTGAAGAATTACTGACTGTAGATTCATCAGAGTCTTTGTGGGGAAATCCTGCTTATACTTACCTCAGTGTCCGTCCTCCCTCCCTCCCTCCCATTTCCTTCCCCGCTCCCCCCATACCTCTCACACTTCCTTCCACACTTCATCCCAAAAATGGAATAAGTGTTCCAATGAACTGAGCAGAAGAGGTTGGTTTTAGAAACAGAGAAGAACTGAAGAGAGCAGAAGCAAAGAATAAAGAGTGTATTAGCCATTTCAAAGTTAACCTTTCTTGGCTGGTCATGGTGACTCAGGCCTGTCATCTCAGCACTTTGGGAGTCTGAGACAGGAGGATCCCTTGAGGCTAAGAGTTGAAGACCAGCCTGGGCAACATAGCAAGACCTCCATCACTATTTTGTTAAAAAAAAAAAAGTAAACAAAATTACTGTTCTTGTATGGTGTGGGACAAGAAAACTGAACAATAGAAAAATAATCAGTTAACATCAGATTACTTTAAACTACTTCTTTTTGTGTATAAGGATTGTAGCAGAGGAAACTTTATTATCATGTTAATGCATGTATGACTCTATTTTAATTTTTAGTCTGGTCAAATGGGGCCTAATGTAGGAGCTTAGTTCAAAACGATAGCCTCCTATGATCTTTTTAGCATTTCTTTCCTTTTGGTGAGGTAAGTGAGAGTGTCACTAAAACCTAGGGTATTAGCAGTACTCTCAGTTTCCATCCTTTTGAGTTTTTGGTCTTGTGTGCCATGTATATATTAGGGTATTCTTGTGATCGTGTGTTCCTCTGAGCTTTTGTTGTTCCAGCCAGAGACAGACCAGTTTGACATTTGACAGATGACTGTATGGAAGGAAACATTTAAAACTTTGAGAGGACATAGCATACCATGGAGACTACTATTGTTATTATTTGAGTTGGAGTCTCACTCTGTTCCCCAGGCTGGAGTGCAGTGGCACGCTCATGGCTAATGCAGCCTTGACCTGCTGCGCTCAGGCAATCCTTCAGCCTGGACCCTCCAAGCAGTTGGAGCTACAGGCGTGCCCTACCATGCCTGGCTAATTTTTTGATTTATTGTAGGGATGAGTTCTTGTCAAGTTGCCCAGGATGGTCTTGAACTTCTGTGTTTAGGCAGTCCTCTTGCCTCTGCCTCCCAAAGTGTTGGGATTACAGGCATGAGCCACCACACCTGGCCAAGACTACCATTATAACTGTCGGAGGATGATACCAAGAGTTTGGCATGTGCTTCTTATCCAAGGTCCCCCTGAACCTAACCAACTAAAATTGAATGGCCAGATGAGGAGTCTCTACCCATTTGGACAAGTCGTCTGCTCTGCAGTACCTGGTGTATTTATCAGTACACAATTAGAAGTGTCGTTGGCTGCAAGATTCCTCTGTTTAGTTAGTAGGTAATCTGGTATCCCATGGCCAGGTTAAATTACAGCAGGAAGTGCAAGTTACTCACAGAAACTACTGATTATGAAATTTTAGCTACAGTATTATTCTGCCAAATGAAAGAGTTAGGCATGAATAAGGAACAATTAAGAGGGTTAAGAGTCTTGTGATAGTGAGTCTTGCTCTGATGGTCTTGGGGAAAAACTGACCCCAGCTTGAAGTTGGCAGCTTCTCATCCTGGTTTGCAGTTGGAATGTCTGTGGTTGTGGCATTAGGCATTCTGGCGAACTTTCTATATGGCCCACGCATCAGGCATGAGACCTAACCCTTAAAATTTTCATCCAGTTGTCAGCATTGGCTTATAGGGATTCGGGAATCTGGTTCTCCCATATAGCCAGATACTGAGAAAATGAGAAGAATTCAGAATCCAGTCCAATCAGAAATCATCAGTTGCATTTCTGGAAATTATTTCTGTGAATTCTCTATACATTTTAGCACCTTCTTTTGCTTCTGATTTCAGATTGGAAGATACAGGGTTATTCATTGAGCCCCTTGATCCTGCTCCACTCTGGCACCCCTCGGACACCAGACCCCTACCCAAGAAGGGGAGAAAGCTGCCTTCCTTTTAAAGCTGGTGCTTGCTTTGGAGCCACAGTTAGCGTTAGTGACCTTTTTTTGCTATCCCATGGAAGCAGTTATGGGACAAATCAGGGAACCTTATAATTTGAAGACAGAGAGACAACCAGTTCATGCTTTTCATGTGGTTTACAGTATAATTACTTTTACTGCTGCCACCACTGGGTTATTTAGGGCACTGTTGCTTCAGCCTCCAACAAGTAGTTTTCAATACTTGTTGTGCAGTAGACTCATTTGTGAAGTTTGGGGGAAAAAAATGCACATTTCCTTCACAATACTTTCCTCCCTAGAAGTTGTGGCTTGGCTTGGTTGGTCTAGGGTTGGTTGTTGTGATCCCAGTGCACAGTGAGGTGAGAATGGCTCCTAGGCTTCCACTGGTTCTTGATTTCTCTCCTTACCTGAAAGGTAAACTATAAAAAATAACCACTGCCCTTCTAAATGTCTCTTCTCTCTGGAATTCTTTTCCTGGGAATTCCTCGATGCTGAATGCCTGGCCTCCTTTCCTCATGGCATGAAGTCTAAGTCATTTGGGGAATCCTTCTCATTGATCAAGTCTGTTTATCTTTTTCTTTCCTTCCTACCTTTCTCTTTCATTTTCTTTTAGCAGGCCCACGTTTCAGGCCATTAACAAAAGTAGCATGTGTCCTGGTGCACTTGTGAAGGGTTTCTTTTCTTTTGTTGTTGTTGTCGTCGTTGTTGAGTCAGAGTCTCACTCTGTCACCCAGGCTGCTGTGCATTGGTATGATCGTGGCTCCCCATAGCCTCAAATTTTTGGGCTAAAGCGATTCTCCTGCGTCAGCCTCCAGAGTAGCTAGGACTGTAGACATCACCACCGTGTGCTGCTAATTTTTAAAAACTTTTTGTAGAGATGAGGTTTTGCTACACTGCCCAGGCTGGTCTTCAACTCTTGGGCTTAAGCAGTACTCCTCTCTTGACCTCTCCTGTACTTGGGAAGAGCTTCTTTTTGTTTTTTTGAGTTGGAGTCTCACTCTGTCGCCCAGACTGGAGTGCAGTGGCTGCTCCTGGCCACCGTAGCCTCGATCTGCTGGGCTCCGGCGATCCTTCCACCTCAGCCTTCCAAGTAGCCGGAACTACAGGCATGCGCTACCACGCCCGGCTGATTTTTTTTTATTTATCTATTGTAGAGATGAGATCTCGCTGCCCAGGCGGGTCTCGAACCCGTTGGTTCAGGCAATCCACTCACCTCAGCCTTCCAAAGGCTCAGGATTACAGGCTGAGCCACCGAGCCCGGCAGGAAGAGTTTCTTAAGGATGTATATTCAGTGGTGGAGTTCTTAGATCACAGGTTAGGCACATCCTCATTCACTAGAGGAGACCTAATTGTTTCCAAAGCAGTTGTGCTAATTTATATTTCTACCAGTAGCATATCGGAGACAGTATGAGTCATGTTGCATCCCCATCCAAATTGACTTTCTTTTATTTATTTGTTTTTTGAGTTAGGGGTCTTACTCTGTTGCCC